CGAAATTAAATTTATCATAGGTTTCTTCGATCGTAGATAAAAAACAAAGAAAAATATCATTTATATGATAAGTTCAAAAATAAAAAAAGATTAATAATATCAATGAATCAAATATTTCTTTAATCGTAGAGAAGAAGGAAACCTCAAAACAAGAAAATATCATTCGCACGATATAAACTCAAAAACAAAATTCTTTAATTATACACAGAAAGAAACAAACAGAAATGAACAGCCATAAATATAGAGAACGTAGAAAAATTACGACTAAACTTTCTCGATTAAAATTTCTTGTCCGATGTAATAAATTCCTCGATTCTGTCCCATTAACAAATCCACATTAAATTTGCAACCAGAAACGTCAAGAATCCGCGAATCTTTCTTCCCCCGGGGAGAATGAAATTTTACTTATTCAACGTAACGCGTATATTGGGAAATTAATTTCGGCAAGCTTGACTGGCAATGAAGGAAATCACGCGTTTATGCACGCGTTAATAATTCATCACTCGCGACGTACGAAACGTTGCTACGCGGCCGATAATAATTGCATTTCTGCTCGGGCAAAAATCGCAATACGATGTGATGTTGTATTCGCGAGGATCGTATCGTTTCGAGTTTGGCAAAGGAGGAAGAAAAAAGAAGGAAAAAGAGAAAAGAGAGGAAAAGAGAGAGATGGAAGAAAATACGTGGAAAGATAAAAGTAACAGCGATCCGAAGCGTGTTTCACCGAGTGGCCAATAAATCAAGACTTATCGCGTCAAAGTGATTATCGAACTCGTAAGCTTCACGGCTGATGCTTAATCTGATTTCACATACTACTTTTCTTAGTTTGGTTTTACATGGTTCAAGCTGTGTCAATTACAGATAGGATCTGCAATCTTGGGAAAGTTATTCGCGCGCGAACTGCATTGCAAGGAACGCGAGTGAGCTGGTGCGAAATTGGAAGAATATATTAAATGGAATTTGGAATTTCATTTCCAAATTTTCTATGGATATCTCTGTACTAGAATCACGTTCCTTTGATGTCAGTAGGTATTTCTTTGTGTAGAGAATTTCAGAGTAAAAAAATACGCAACAATTGCAGCGAAATACTAAACGAAGCGTGAAATACAAATGTAACAAAAGTGTGTCTGAATTATTGGCAAGGTGAACTGTATTCCAATATCCTTTGATTTCCATCCTTTTTTCGCTTTTGACAAACATGTAACTAAGAGAAAAATTTCAGTAACGTTGATAACTATCTTTGGCATTAAATAATTATTAATGATTTTTTGCCCCTTTCTTTTCTAAAAGTGGTTTTCTAGCGATCACACATCTGGGAAAAATGAAAAAACTGAAATAATATATTTCCGATAGCTAATATCAATGTCTTATCCGACCGTATAGAAAGAAAATTCAACGTCACGAAAAGTAAATTCCAAAATAAAATTCCAACCCAACAAATGAATTCAAATCTCGCTATCGTAATCTATTTTCTACGCAATCGACCATTGAACCTCTCTGCCAGAATAATTCACTGCGTTGTCGCATTATCACACACACACACACACACACACACACACACA